AAAAATGCTTAAGCAAAAATGTGTACCCTAGGTGAAAATATGTGCATCATTTGCACTTTGGAACTGCCTGCCACTTGACATCAGGCAGGTGACTTTGCTGTACCCTTTTTGTCTCTTTCTTTAAAAACAAACAAACCATTTTTAAAAAAAATACAACTCTACCTTGTATTAGTGTTGATGTGTGCTTTAATCTGTTCTTAGGCTTTAGCCAACTTTTAAAAGTTAATTCATTTAAAAATCACTTCAATGCTGCAAATGGTTGCTTTTAACTGCATTTACCCATAATTTTATCACCTCTTTCTCTCTCATTGTAAAGTGCTTTGAGAGGTTGGCTTGGTTTAGTTTAGTTTTTTTTTATTAAAAAAAACTAAAACCCTGCAGTGTGTATGAATTATGTGAAATGAATGGATAAATAAAATGCTGGTGGATTTTGGAGGAACTTAAAAAAGAGAGAAAAAGAACTGATATTGAGATGTGGAAGAAACCAAAATCGGGAGATTCATCCATCCATGTACTTAAGTGTCCCACTTTTGAATAAACAATTCCCGTTTTCTCTTTCAACAACAGTTTCTTTTCACAATGCATGAGAAACAGAGGGGGTGGAAGAAATAATTCTCTTGAAAGCATACAGGTTTCTGCAAATGCAAGGCGTTTCCACCCCTGCTTTTGTGTCGGTGAATCAGCACTGGCGGAAACCGAAAACGCGCTTGTAAGCACATCTGGTCCTTCCTGGGCAGGAGGCAGGAGGGATGGCACAGGTGTGACCCCCAGAAACCCAGAGGGGCCCTAATTCAGCACAGCACATAGCAACTCTCTGGTCCTGAATGGGGCAACTGTGCCCCTGAAGGACCAGGTGCGCAGCCTGGGGGTCATTTTGGACTCACAGCTGTCCATGGAGGCGCAGGTCAATTCTGTGTCCAGGGCAGCTGCCTACCAGCTCCATCTGGTATGCAGGATGAGACCCTCCCTGCCCGCAGAGTGTCTCGCCAGAGTGGTGCATGCTCTGGTTATCTCCCACTTGGACTACTGCCAGGCGCTCTATGTGGGGCTACCTTTGAAGGTGACCCAGAAACTACAACTAATCCAGAATGCGGCAACTAATCCAGAATGCGACTGGGAGTAGCCACCGAGACCACATAACACCGGTCCTGAAAGACCTACACTGGCTCCCAGTATGTTTCCGAGCACAATTCCAAGTGTTGGTGCTGACCTTGAAAGCCCTAAATGGCCTTGGCCCAGTAGACCTGAAGGAGCATCTCCACCCCATCATTCTGCCCAGACACTGAGGTCCAGCGCCGAGGGCCTTCTGGCGGTTCCCTCCCTGCGAGAAGCGAGGTTACAGGGAACCAGGCAGAGGGCCTTCTCGGTGGTGGCGCCCGCACTGTGGAATGTTCTCCCATCAGACGTCAAGGAAATAAGCAACTATCTGACTTTTAAAAGACATCTGAAGGCAGCCCTGTTTAGGGAAGCTTTTAATGTTTAATGCTGTACTGTGTTTTTAATATTTGGTTGGAAGCCACCCAGAGTGGCTGGGGAAACCCAGCCAGATGGGCAGGGTATAAATAATAAATAATTATTATTATTATTATTATTATTATTATTATTATTATTATTATTATTTTATTGTCAATAATAATAAGAAGAAGAATAAATTATTATTTATACCCCGCCTATCTGGCTGGGCTTCCCCAGCCACTCTGGGCAGCTTCCAAAAGAATATTAAAATACATCAAACATTAAAAGCTTCCCTAAACAGGGCTGCCTTCAGATGTCTTCTAAAAGCCTGGTAGTTGTTGTTCTCTTTGATATCTGGTGAGAGGGTGTTCCACAGGGAAGGCGCCACTACCGAGAAGGCCCTCTGCCTGGTTCCCTGTAACTTGGCTTCTCGCAGTGAGGAAACCGCCAGAAGGCCCTCGGTGCTGGACCTCAGTGTCCGGGTAGAACGATGGGGGTGGAGACACTCCTTCAGATTAACCATAGCATGCCACTTCAAACAGCTGTGGCTCCCTCCCAAAGCACCCTGGGAACTGTAGTTTGTTCAGGATGCTGAGAGCTGCTAGGAGACCCTGCTCCATCCCCCTCAGAGAACTACAATTCCCATAGCTCCCAGAGGAGAGGCGTTGACCGTTAAACCACTCTGGGAATTGCAGAGGGGGGGGGAGGAAACAAGGGTCTCCCTAACAAGTCTCAGCACCCACTTAACAAACTACAGCCCCCAAGAAGCCATGACTATTTAAAGTGGTCTGATCTTGCTTTAGAGGGCTGAATTTGCTCTTTGCATAGAGGATATATTTATACCCGCACTCGAGCAGGGAGGGTGGAGGGAGAGAGCCCCTCTCCTCCCCCGAAACATAAATGAGATGCAAGTTATATAATAAAAGCCATATAATAATCCATTCAAATAACAAGCTTCCTCAAGGCCATTCTGCTGATTTCAAGCCTTTTGCGCCAGAAAAGGGAAATTCACAAGGGGATGAACTTCAATTAAAGCTTTGGCTGCCTTTTTATCTAACGCATTAACACGGGTAGGCCATTAATTCCGCCGCCATTAAGGATTAGCTTTGGTCTCTGAAGCCACCTACGAAGTCTTGGGCCCCAGATGGGCAGCGGGAAAAGAGTCTTGGACCTCAAATGCACGCTTATGCCTTTACCGGATGCGCGCCTCATGTTCCCAGGGTAGCTTGCAGCAAAAGTTAGGAGGCAATCAAGCAAAATTAAGAAGCTGGAAGTGGGAAGATTCGGGGCAGGCTGAAGCAAGTCCTCCTTCACACAGAACAGGGTGAAACTACGGAACTCCCTGCTGCAGGAGAAAGTGGCGGTGGAAGAGGATCAGACAAATCCACGGAGGGAGAAAGCTATCAATTACTACAATGCTTCTGAATATCAGTTGCCATTGCTGGAAACCACAGGAGGAAAGAGTTGTTCCTGTGCTCAGATCAGGGCCGGATTGAGGTTTGATGAGGCCCTCAGCTCCTGAAGGTAATGGGGCCCTTTCTATGTCCAGCTGTCCTTTGTCAACAACAAATTGTAGCTGCTTTTTGTGTTGAATACATGCTATATGGTAATTTATGGACCTCATAGGTATCTCAAGCCATTTGCACATAACAAATAGGAACCTACACAACACAAAACACTGTTGCTGTAGGTAGGTTTTATTTTATTTGCTTTTTATCTTATATTTTGGAAATGTACATCCGGGATTTTTTTTCCTTTAATTTTTTTGGGGGGGCCGCAAGAGAGTGGGGCCCTAAGCTAGAGCTTGTTTAGCTTATACACGGGTGGCGCTGTGGGTTAAACCACAGAGCCTAGGACTTGCCGATCAGAAGATCGACGGTTCGAATCCCCGCGATGGGGTAAGCTCCCGTTGCTCGGTCCCTGCTCCTGCCAACCTAGCAGTTCGAAAGCACGCCAGTGCAAGTAGATAAATAGGTACCGCTCTGGTGGGAAGGTAAACGGCGTTTCTGTGCGCTGCTCTGGTTCGCCAGAAGCGGCTTAGTCCTGCTGGCCACATGACCCGGAAGCTGTATGCCGGCTCCCTCGGCCAGTAAAGCGAGGAGCGCCACAATCCCAGAGTCGGTCACGACTGGACCTAATGGTCAGGGGTCCCTTTACCTTTGCCTTTAAATCCGGCACTGGCTCAGATTAGAGGCTGATTGGTCCAACTGGTTTGGTTGCTCTGGGCACAGAGCCTCAGGGTGCCACCAGAGACGACACAACTATTATTTGGAATGAACTGTGAGATTGGGGGTTGGGGAAGCACAAGGCACCGCTGAAATTTGAGGCCCCAAGACCTGCCACTGCTCAGATCCTGCTTGTGGGTGTCTGGCTGGCAGCTGGTCGGCCCCTGCGAGAAAAGGACGCTGAACTCTTTGGGCCACTGGCCTGATCCTGCAGGCTCCCCTTTCGTTCTTACATTATCCCAGAATAGCATCTGAAAAGCACATGGAAGAGTGGGAGGCAGGTTTGTGTTTGTGTGTTTATGTGATGGGGAGGAATGGTACCCTCTCTCCCCCTTGGCAACATTTGCATCGGAAAGAAATCACGAAAACCGGGTGCAGCGCTAAAGCTCCCAAGAAAGGGACAAACCCTGCAGCCCAGCCTTGCTCTCTGTCTCTCTTTCTCCTCTTCAGTTGTCTAGAAGCGAGGCCGCCAGGCCTAGGCTCCCTTCCCTTCCTCCTGCGCTGCGACGGCAGATGGCGAAAAGCAAAAGCCTCGAGTTCTAATTCATATGGAGGGGCCCGGGGGAGCCTGATACGGCCTGCTCAAGCTGCAGGCAGCATTTGCGTCAAACCCCCCCCCCCCCCCGCTCCAGGTCTGCGGCACCTTTTGTTCCGAACACCACGAGCCAAGCGTGGCGAGGCCCGATCCTTGCACGCTCCTCGCCAAGGTCCTGCCACAAAGATGAGCACAACTGTTAAGGGCGCAGGTCCCTGCTGGGGTCGCCGCGTCAGAATCGCCTCCCCGGGAACGGACGTCAGAGACGTGCTAATTTCATTAGACCTGAGCCGGAATAGATGGCGGGGATTAGCCTGCCAGCCAGCGCTGGTTACTGGGGTAACCTGGGGTCTCTCCCCGCCGTGGATGCGACCAAATTAACGAGAGCAGGGTGGTGGGGTTTGTGTGTGTGTGTGTGTGTGTTTTCATAAAAATCCTACGCATGAAGGCAAGCAGAAGGATGATGCCGGGGAGCACTGCTGCGTCAGTGATGCTCGCCGGCGAGATGGAACGGGAGCCGCCGCGATCTGTACGTACAACATTCCCCCGAGGCGCAGGAAAGTAAACAGAGCCTGCGGAAATAATTAATGCTGGCAGCCGCTGAATGCCGTCACCGCTACTTAGTCGCACTACAAGCAAGGGGGGGGGGGGAGAGGAGAAGCCGTGACATTGGAAGGAAGGATCATCGGCAAGGGAGAATCCTGCACCGATGGCTTTCCTCTCTCCCTGCAGCCATTGAGCACCTCTCCCCACTTGCAAGGAAGAAGCAGGCTGCAGTGCTTCTGGACTGAAGGGATAGCTCAGTTTGGTAGAATGTGAGGCTCTGAATCTCAGCGCTGTGGGTTTGGGCCCCGCTTTGGAACTGGCATTCAGGAACAATGCTGCCTCTAGCTAGAAGCCATCCATAGCCCTCTCCTCTTCCATGAATTTGCCTCATCCTCTTTTAAAGCCATCCAAATTGGTGGCCATCCCTTCCTCCTGTGGCAAGGAGTTCCATAGTTTAACTCTGTGCTGTGCGAAGCAGTCTTTTCTTTCATCACTTCCTCCTGTGGCCTTGCTTTGGGCCCCGCACAGTCCCTTCCAACTACAGTGGTACCTCTGGTTGCGAACAGGATCCGTTCCGGAGTCCCTTTCGCAACCTGAGCAGAACGCAACCCGCGCATGCGCGGCGCAATTCGCCGCATCTGCGCATGCGTGTGACGTCATTTTGCGTGTCTGCGCATGCGCGAGTGGCGAAACCCAGAAGTAACCCTTTCCGGTACTTCTGGGTCGCCGTGGGACGCAAACTGAAAAAACCTATCATGAAGCAAATGCAACACGAAGTATGACTGAATTCTATGAAAAGGATCCCAGTCGGAAATCGCAGCAGCAGGGGAGGGAGAGGGATCTGGCGCTCAGATCCCGCCTGCGGGTTTCCCACGGGGACAACTGGTTGGCCACTGTGAGAACAGGGCACTGGACTCAACAGGCCACTGGCCTGAGCCAGCAGCAGACAGTTTTTAGGATGCTCTCAACGCCAAGAGGAAGGCAGCACTGCTTGGAACGGTTTTGTCCCTCAGGGCGCTCTCCTCCTGACCTCTCTGCTGCTGGCTGTAAAGAAAATCCACATTTGCACAACCACAGAGGATGCCAAGCTGCTTTGCTTGTGTCCCAAGCTGTGCAAATGTCTGGTGATCCTAGAGGCCGCTTGGATTTCTAGTGAGCAAGAATGGCCTCTGTGATGGGGCACACGGAGATCTTTGTGGCTCTATAAAGGTAAAGGTAAAGGGACCCCTGACCATTAGGTCCAGTTGTGACTGACTCTGGGGTTGCGGCGCTCATCTCACTTTATTGGCCGAGGGAGCCGGTGTGCAGCATCTGGGTCATGTGGCCAGCATGACTAAGCTGCTTCTGGCAAAACTAGACCAGCGCACGGAAACACCGTTTACCTTCCCGCCGGAGTGGTACCTACTTATCTACTTGCACTTTGAAGTGCTTTCGAACTGCTAGGTGGGCAGGAGCAGGGACTGAGCAACGGGAGCTCACCACGTCATGGGGATTCGAACTGCCGACCTTCTGATCAGCAAGCCCTAGGCTCTGTGGTTTAACCCACAGCGCCACCACCGTCCCTCTATAGTCTGATTTTATTCTGAGACAGATATAATAACAACAATCATCGTCATCTCAACATCCCACTTGCTTGTGCAGTTTACTACAGACTAGGAAATTTCCCCTTCTTAGTGATGGGTGGAGAGGTGGAGGCTTTCATACAACAAGGAGCTTTGTGGGTTCAGCAGGTGGGCAGCCAGAACGTGCCTCAGTTGCGATGCTTTGCTTTTTTTATCTGCAGAAATCTCTGCTACCTTTACACGTATGTCTGCAAGTTGGGGGATCTGGGGTGGGGAGATGGAACATATTCATGCAGAAATCATCTTCTGGCACTGAAATTATTAGAGGCAGAGACAAGCTGATGGATACATAGCAATTACACGCCCGACCCGATGCTACATTTAATTATCTGCTGCCTGGTAAGACGCCTCACCAGCATCTCCAGCAATTGCGAGCCAGATTTCCAGAGGGCCTCAGTGTGGTTACCTTGTGCTTCACCAAATGGCTAAACACAGGGATTTGGCCCAGTTCTCCCCTCTGACGACACACCGCTGCAATTTCATTCCCCTGAACGAGATCTGTGTGCCAAAGGAGAACGGCCGGCTAATCAGCGCAAGAACAGAATGCGAGGCTCGGTTTCTCATAGAATCGTAGGATTGTTGAGTTGCAGGGGATCTCCAAAGGTCATCTAGTCCAACCCCCTGCAATGCGGGAATGGCAACTAAAGCATTCACAGCAGAGGGCCAGAGGTTGGTGGTTGGAGAGTGAGAGCTAGCTGAATTATATGCTGGGCTCCACCCTTTCTGACACAGTGCCATTTTGATCTGAGCTGCTCGCTTGCTACTGAGCTGGCCACATTTTGATTCTCTGGCCCCATATCTGCACAAACTTATTATCCCAAAATACAGACGTGCTTTTACACTTGCAAGACTGGATGTTTTGCCATCTGCGGTACTTGAGGGTCGATTCCAAAAGGTCCCGCCTGAGAAACGTCTTTGCCCCTGTGGAGATGGTAGCACCGAAACAGCGGCACACGTCCTCCTGTCCTGTGCTCTCTACAAAGACCTGAGGAACCAGATCACCACCCCACTCGTACTAACCATTCCAGGGCGCACAACCACTGCCACAAGGTCCTTTCTTCTATCAGATCAAAATGGGCAGATAACAGCAAAGGTTGCAAGGTTCATAGCAGGGGCAATCAGAATAAGGGCCACTAACTGATGGCTGATTCAGGACTTTAAATTGTGCTCCTAAATTTCCTTTTCTACGTATACTGTAATGTTTTATTGTTGCTATGGCCATTGGCTAATGCGAATAAAGTTTTGTCTTCTTATGGGAGAAGAGTAGATTCTATATTCATTTCCAATTTTGTTTGGAAAAAGAAGTCAGAATAAGGAAGGGAAATATCAAAATACAGTATGGTCGCACCTTATGTGCATTTAGCTGTCTCAGCCAAACATTTCCATTGCCTTTTCTGTGTTGGCTCCCCATTTGTGGAAGGCTCAACTCGGGGAAATTAACCTGGCACCTTTGTTACACATCTTTAGGCGCCAGCAGACAAAGCGTCTCTCTTCAACAAGGCGTTTGGCTGATGGACATTCTACGGCTTTTTAAATGTACTTGTGGGGGGTTATTGGTTTGTTTTTCTTTTATTGCACATTTTGTATTTTCATTTTGTATTTTTCTGTTCTGAACGGCAGGACAAATACATGGGATGTTGGCACCACTGATCTGTTTACCTTTCTCACACCCCAGGTTAGGATTGCAGCCTTAGCAGGTGGCTTTCCACTAATATATAAACGTTGTCTGCTCATTCCTCTAAGGTACACATTTCCCCCCTCCATCATATGTAACCGCTATATAGAAAAGACTTTGTTGTTGTTGTTTAGTCATGTCTGCCTCTTTGTGACCCCATGGACCAGAGCACGCCAGGCCCTCCTGTCTTCCACTGCCTCCCGCAGTTTGGTCAAACTCATGCTGGTAGCTTCGAGAACACTGTCCAACCATCTCGTCCTCTGTCGTCCCCTTCTCCTTGTGCCCTCCATCTTTCCCAACATCAGGGTCTTTTCCAGGGAGTTTTCTCTTCTCATGAGGGGGCCAAAGTATTGGAGCCTCAGCTTCAGGATCTGTCCTTCCAGTGAGCACTCAGGGCTGATTTCCTTCAGAATGGAGAGGTTGGATCTTCTTGCCATCTATGGGACTCTCAAGAGTCTCCTCCAGCACCAAAAGACTTTAGAACCCAAGAAAAGAAGACACATTTTTGGAACAACTCGGATGGGCACAGAGATAAGCAATGGACCTTTTTCCTTTCCAAGCCAATCTAAATTTGACACCCTCTGTTTGACTCAGAGAGTACAACACTCCTGAATCCCAATTCCTGGAAACCACAGGAGGAGAGAGGGCTCTTGTGCTCGGATCCTGGTTTTCCTTTTCAGTGTCTGTGGAACAGGATGTTGAATGAGATGGGCCTCCTTTCGCCTGATCCAGAAGGCTCTGCTTAAATTCTTTTCTTAGATGCTTGCCCATCAAATGGCAGCTTCGTGTGGCTTGGGGAAAGTTCTCTTAGACACTGGAAGCTCTTGAGATAAACAGGCTGCGCCTCTCCCTGTTTTAAAAGGCTCACCCCCTGCCAAGGTCCCCATAACCACAAGGGTCTTTTGCAAGAGGTGGGCCTTCCCAGCCACCACCCATGATTTTGGCGGGTGCAGCTGTCCAAGCTGGTCCGAGAGCATGGGAAGGTGCCCTGATGCTAAGAGCTTTGCATCTCCCACCCAGAAGATGGTGTGGCCAGGAGTTTTCAAGAGGATTCGGGAGTTTCTGCTGTTCACCAATTTCTTCAGACAATCATTGCAAGGCAACCCATCCCACCTGTTCCCTCGGAATCAGATCCGGCCAGGACAGCAACTGGTGCAAGCAAAAAGGGCCCGATTCTCTTGGGTGGTTTTCTTCCTGAACTTCCAACCCTGATCCCCATCAGAATCGGTGCTTGAAGAAAACCAGTGAAAATCAGGCATCCCTCAAGTGGGTGAGATAAAGGAGTTATTTTTACTTTAAAAACCAGCCCCTTTCCCTTCCCTTCTATCTCTCTCTCTCTCTCTCTCTCTCTCTCTCTCTCTCTCTCCACACCCCTTTAGCTGCTTTCTACAACCTCCTGAAGGCACAAATCATTGCTCTCTAGGATTTGGGGTGACTCCAGGGTTTCGTTTTCCTCCGCTGCCCCTCGCTGTCATTGAGCACGCTTGAAAGTGCATTGGGGAGGGGGGAGGCAGCTGAGTTCAAATCAATCAGCTTCCCCTTTCTTCTGCCCCCTCCCCCCCCGGCAACCCGGGGAAACATAACTCAAGAAGCAGCAAATTCATAAGCTCACACCCGAAACGTGCTGCCTGCCTAGGAGATGAACCATCTGGCAAGCTGACACAGTAATAAGTCTGCCTAATTGTCAGGTCAGGCATAATACTGTGCATTGCTGTCAGTCGCTTCGCTGCAGCTTTGTACTGGAGATGTAAAACTCCTTGTACTGTGTGTATGTTGCGTGGGCAGGCGGGGAGATAAATCAGACAGACAGAAGGTGGAGGGGCGGGCAGGGCAAGCGCAGGGGGGAGGGGTAGCCAGCAGAGGAACGAGCCAGGAGGCAGGCAGGAGCTGGAGACAAGGGTCCACAGAATCACAGAGCTGGAAGGGCACCCGAGGGTCATCTAGTCCAACCCCCTGCAATGCAGGACTTGCTGTCAGGGACTGGTCCAAAGAGGAGGAACAATGGAGTCCACTGCCCCCCCTCCT